ACAATAACTAAAGCTTTTAGGGAGAAAAAAAAGAGAGTTAGAACATTTTGTTCTTAAGCACACAAGATGGTTTTTATTCTTATTGCTTATGACTTGAAATATTACAAGAGGTCTCCTTTTATAGCCAAGGAGATTCACAAAAGACAAAACCACACTATTTACAAACATGGCATCATTAATGCCTTCTTTCAAAAGTCCGACACCCTTATCCCTTATGGATAAATTATTGTAGTACTATTACACAGAAGGACGAAACTTAACTATTTATAAACATGCTTGTGATTAATAAGAGACACTTGTCCAATTAGTCTTTAAAGATAGGTTCATGACTTGGAGACATATTCTAATCGGATAAGTATTCTTCTGAAAAGCAGTCTCCGTATCGAGATGTCTCTTTTTCCCACACGTCATCCATCAAGTAAGCATGGTCTGATATTTTTCTATGAACTTCTTCCACGTGTCCTTCTGAGAATTCAACTTCGATTGGGGAATCTGCTTTTTGTTGTGTGGCTTGAACTGAGCTTTCTCCAACCTCTCTTCTATTAATTCATCCTTTTATTTTAAATTTTTTTAATGACATGGCAGAATGCTTGTTTTCTATTGGACGACAGTGTAAAACTATTTTACACTTTAACTCTAATCTAAAACTAATTTTTAAAAAATTAATCTTATGAGATAACCTGTGATCCTCTAATATAGTAACGTGATATTCTAGGATAGTTTCTTATATTCTAATAGAGGTGAGTGAACCTAACTTTGATGACACTCTAACATACCAACTATCTCCAACAAGGGTAACCCAATTTTACGCTCTAATAATTTGAACCTTGTAATTGCCATTTTCTCCATCAATTTTGAACTTGTTATGCTCTTTTTGTGGTTGCTGAGTTGTGTTCTTATCTTGTGTTTTGTGAATTTGTCCATCAATTTTGAACTGTGATGTTAATTTGTATTATGGAATGGTCTAGATTTATTTGTTGCTTGCAGAATATTTCAATTTTCTTTTTGGTTTGATACTTTGATTTATAACTAGGTTAGAATGTTGATTATTTACTAAGTTAATAATATTAAATTGTGCGAAGATATTACAATAGATGTTTTAGACATTATTTTGGTATTAGGTAAACACTTGCGACTTTTCAAAACAAGTCTATGGAAATTCCACAATCTTTGACAACCCTGTACCCCCTCATATACTTTTGAAAAATTGTACAATTTTTTGATTGTTTGTTGCTTATGCAATCCTGATCATGCTCTTGAACACATGCTCCTGATCATGCTCTTGAACACAATCCAGTGAGATTGTGAGAGATCACATAACATGTATTTACAGTCAGTGGGGTACCGGCCATGGTAGTAAAATTGCAAGTTTCATTGTAAGATTACAGGATTTTAATATTTTTAACACCTTTAACGATTTTGATCCCATGCAGAATTGCAATCCAATAGGATCACATGGGTTTGGTGATGTTAAGCGTAAAATCAGGGGGATTGGCAAGATACAGCGATCCTGCAATCCTCTCTGTTCTAGCACGACTGGCTTAAAACCAAAACTCGTTTCCTAGATTAAAATTGAACCCCAACCAGATGATTTTAGATGTTTTTCGCTCCCGCAAGCTTCTCTACCTGTATGATATTTGAAAACATTAAACAAAATAAATAGAAGTTGGAAGTTTTGTAATTAGAACTGCATATAGGAAATAAGAACATTTTCTAAAAACCAAATTTTCACAGGTGTGGCAAATGAGGAACTGATTGGAAGATGAATATACTGTATATACGCTCTGCTGAATGATTCAGCATTGACCTCTACGCTAACAAAATTACTGCAGTTTTTATGTGATTTCCATACAAATTAACAAAATTTGATTATTTTATGTTCAATTCTTACCATATTTGGTTGTGACAATTGAATTTCAGGGGCTGTGTAGAACAGTGCGAGAAATCTGGATGTGTAGGGGCTAGGTGTTTTCAACATTGTAAATTCTCATCAGATGGAAAACCGATTGATGGTCCATGGTATATGCATGAACCACTTTACCTGGAGTGGAAACAATGGGACTGTCGCACTGATTGTCGGTATCACTGCATGCTAGTTAGAGAGGAAGAAAGAACAAAACTTGGTGAAACGCCTGTCAAGTATCATGGGAAATGGCCATTCAGGCGCATTTATGGGATTCAGGTTCTTTCATGAATATCCTATGAAAGGTTCAAGGGTAATAGTATGCTAATTTAGTGGTTTTGGTTTCTGATTGTAGCATGAATGTATGTTTCAGGAACCTGTGGCTGTTGCTCTGTCTGCCCTTAATCTTGCTATGCAGTTTCATGGCTGGGTATCCTTCTTCATTCTTGTTTACTACAAGTTGCCTCTGAGGCCAGATAAGAAGGCTTATTATGAGTACACCGGCTTGTGGCATATTTATGGGATTCTATCGATGAATGCATGGTTGTGGAGTGCTGTTTTTCATAGTAGGTAAGTTGTTCACTCTATTTGTTTTTATTATGGTCTGGGCTGTATGCCTCCATATATTAAAGGTGAAATATATAATGCGGTCTTTTAAGTTGTTTAACTGTACCTTATTAGTCCTTTAAGGTTTTTTGACCCACATATGTCCTATAAGTTTTATTACGTGCACACTATTACCTTTTTTCACATATTGTGTTATAAAAATACGACACATGTGTCCGTTATGTTACTGATGCAGCATGAATGAGGTTTCCGACTTATCCTACGTGTATCCCTTTTCCATCTCTTAAGTGTAACACTTGCTCATTTTAGAATTAGGATAAAAGTTTGAGACAAATAATCATGCAAGATAGAAGAATAATATGCTTCGTAGCCCTAGAGGTATTCGTCATCCAATGTATGAAAACCTCAAAGGATAGTTCCTCCATTCCTCTCATCTCTCGGACAATATTTGTCCCAAATCATTTAACCTAATTCTGAAACGGAAAGGAAAGGAGTTAGATGTAGGATAAGTGGCCAACCCTGTTAATTAACTGACATGTATTTTTGTAACATATGTGTGAAAAGGGCAACGGTATACATGTAATGGGAGTTAAATGACCTATGTGGGATAAAAAAAACTTAAAATACTAATTTGGTATAATTAAACATCTTAAAGGAACAAAGAATGTATTATGCCTATGTTATGGTTCAGGATTGAAGTACTAACTCAAACCTCGGTTGTCGTTTCTTTGTGGTGCCTTAATATTTATTTTATTTGTATTGTATGTTTTAACATTAAACAATGAGATTTTACATCACAATCACACACAAAGCATCTTACATCACAATCATTCACAATAAAGCATTTACATATAAAACGATGTATTTCCTAAATATGGATTATCTTTGATTTCTATTTTGATGTGTATTTCATTCTTATATTATCTGTAGAGCTGTGGAATTAACAGAGAAGCTGAATTATTCTTCTGCTGTGGCCTTACTTGGATTTTCCCTCATTCTAGCAATACTCCGAGCTTTTAATGTGAGGGATGAGGCTACAAGAGTCATGGTTTCTGCTCCCTTGGTTGCTTTTGTGACAACTCATATCATGTATCTGAATTTCTACCAACTGAATTATGGTAATCTTTTAATTTAAAATAGGCTGCTATTATTGTTGTTGGTGTTGACTTTTGAGTTACACACAAGTTCCCTACGAGATTCATGTTTTATGATTTTTGTTACAACAAGTATCCTCTATCTGAATATCTACTCCTATAATCTTTTCCAGGTTTGAACATGAAAGTTTCAATGTTGATGGCTGTTGTCCAGCTTCTTATTTGGGCATTCTGGGCCGTTGTTTCCAGCCATCCGTCACGATGGAAATTATGGACAGTGGTGGTGGGAGGAGTCTTTGCTATGATCTCAGAGACATATGACTTCCCACCTTATATGGGATATGTTGATGCTCATGCTGTATGGAATGCAGCAAACATTCCCCTCACATTCCTTTGGTGGAGTTATATAAGGGATGATGCTGAGTTTAGAACCTCTGCTCTTCTTAAGAAGGTTAAATAGTGTTGTCGAATAATTGACACGGAAGTGTCGATCAGATGGATATTCATATGCTTACTTTGATCTGTAAATTAGAACCATTTTCCTTTTCCTTCGCGTGAGCATTTTTTTAAGTGCTTATCGCGATGGTTTCCATGTTTTTGAATTTGTAACTTTTGTTTTTCCTCATGTATGAAGCATACTTGTTAATGTAATTTAAATTTGTCATGCCTTACACGCCTATAAACTGCTAACCCCTTTCTTCGGTGTAGAAGGTTGTTGCAGTATAACCAAACAACTTTTCACTCGACCAACAAGTGTGCGTTACACGTCAACGCAACAACTTTAATCAAGACTTCTGATGAAAAGAGCACAAGAAATGAAATGAAGAGAATATGCAGTATGGACTTTGCCAAATTGGTACGCAGATTAGTTAATGAGTTTGGGGAGGAAAAAGTTATCAGTTACTCCATATAATAAACAAGAAAAATACTCTTACACAAAATAGGAAAGTAGTTAGTTCTATTTAATTTTTTTGTTGAAATAAAAAAAAATTGGATTTTCTATAATGCCCCGCATTAGAACTTAGGTCATTGAAATAAAAAATAAAAAAATAAAATCTACAATAGAGCTGGTATTCCAATGGAAAATGATGGACTGACTTTAAGTATAGAATGACTTTAAGACCAAGTTGAAGAAGAGATAGATTGACTCTAAGGCCAAGTGCAAATGGTTCTGGTCCTTTTTTTTATTAATTGCATTTGGTCATTTTTCAAAATATCAACTAATATTTGGCAATACATAGACAGATATTTTTAAGTCCCAAAACTGTATATTCTCTTTTTTTTATTTACACAAAAGAATACAAAAACAAAATTCCTTTTCAATTTCAACCTATGTATGAAGTGTTCATACTAGTTACAAAAAAAACGTTGTAGTTCAGAGTTCAAACTTCTCCATTCTACAATCTACACAAAAAATTGAACCAAACGCATCAAATTTAAAAAGTCCATAGTGATACCTCTTCATCTTGATATTCTTGTACATCAATATGTTCATAGTCATGATACTCAAAACTGTGCGTAGGGGACATCATCACCATATTCCTCCACAACTCTGTCATATCCAATGCTTCCTCCTCTTCTTCCACTTCCACACAAAACATACTCACCTCCTCTGTGGCGACGATAGCTACAACTGTATCAATGTCCTTAGTCGTTAAAATCTTGCCTGGTCTGAAAGCCTCGGCCGCTTCTGTAGCCGCTTTTTGTATATCTTTTGTATCAGAGGTTGCAGGAACAGGGAGTCGCCACACCGAGTCTGCGAAATTGAGACAGGCGTATCGGCCTCTCAATGCCATTGCGGCAACATCGTGGGCTCGGGCTGCCATCTCGGCCGTCGGAAAAGTCCCTAGCCAAATTCTAGTCTTCTTGTTAGGCTCCCTCATTTCACAAACCCACTTGTCTAAATTCCTCTTCCTCACACCTCTATACACCGGGTGGCGGGTTTCCTTGAATATCTTCCTCCCTGCAGGCTTCTTCGGACAACTCGCAGCTAATCGCAGCTCCCCTTTGGAGGCTTTTGAGGAAATGGTTTGTGAATTTGAAGAGGTGTTGAACATATTTAAGTGTTGAAAAGGTTTTGAGAGAGAAAAAGGGATGTGATGATAGAGTTAGTGATGAGGTACTGAAGAGTAAGTGTGTTATATTTATAGGAAACCATGATTGAAGGTAACAACAGTGTGAGAGTATTTGTAAGTGTGTGTGTTTTGTGTGAGACGAGTGAGTGAGTTTGGATATTTTACAAATGTAATGAGACAGGTGGTTGGCTACTTTTAAGGCAGTTTTGTGATTGGTTATAAATTATTTGGAAAGAGAAAGGGAAACCGATGAGAAGAGAGACTAAATGTGACATATAATGAGGAACACTTGGTTGAAAACGAACAATGTCAATAAAATATCCTCACTTTTTTTGTTTGTTTGAAAAACATTTTACAAAATATCTAAAGTGTTATTGCCTTCACTATATAAGGTTAGTAAAGGTTTCATAAGGATGTACTATTTATGGCTCTTCAATCTCTATCCCCTTTTTATTTTATAATTTTTTTTGTAACATATTAAGAAAAAGTAGGAGGAATATACTTCTTTTCGCCCTTAACAAATTTTTTTAAATTTTTTGAGTAAAAGTATATATATATATATATATATATATATATATATATATATATATATATATATATATATATATATATATATATATATATATATATATATATATATATATATATATATATATATATATATATATATATATATATACTGTGACATTTGTATGCGTGCTTCTTTATATATATCTTTTCATTTTCATGAGTAATTTTATTCATATTCTGATTTAAAATTCAAGTTCACTGCGACAATGACAGACTAGTTAGTGAATGATATTTAAATAAGATAAATTAATATGCCATTTCATTTTATATACGTATTTCTCTTTAAATTTCAGTATTTTTAAAATATCTCTTTTATTATTTATTTTAAATTTTTTATTTTTGTCAAAAAAAATTACTATTGATCAAAGGGATAAATTTAATTTTTTTTGATATTCTTAGAAAATTTTCGGTACCGATTTTTGTCGTATACCGGAAATTCTTCATTCTACAAATATTTGATAACGATATACCAGAATTTTTGAAATTTCCGATTGCGATTTACCAAAATTTTTATAATTTCTAGTAAATTTTACAAAAGTCTCTATAGGTACCGGAAATTTAGCAAATTTACAGTAGAAAACCTTTACCGAAAACATCAAATTTCCGGTGTATCTGAAATATCAAATTTCTGGTATATCTGCAGATGAAGTTTTATATCTTTGTGGTCCTGAATCGGTAGCTTCAACTTCTTCTACAAATTCATGTACTGATCTTACACAATTCTTCATCATAGATACCGTAAGTTTTCTCTTTAATTTACACAATTACGTTTTTTTTTTTTGTAAATTGATGAAGTTTACTAATTATATGTTATTGCAATGTTATTGTAATTGTCAGATTTTTGAATCACAAGATAAAATCTTAGAACAGACACAGTCTACTGAAAAAAATCATGGTATTGTTGTTGTTATAATTCGGTCCGATATTACTAATGGAATGTGAGGGAGGGAGGATAAATTGATTATGGGCTGTGACAGAGGAGGAAATCACAAAAAGAAAAATGAATCTACGAAACTTTCTGATGGCAATTATACTATGAAGGCTATATGCCAATTTAGACTGAGATCTGTTCCAAGTGATATCGGTTGGAAGGTGATGGTTAGATGCGGGATGCACAATCATAAACTAGATAAGAATTTAGAAGATCATGACATATTGGGCCGTCTAAAAGATCATGAGAGAAAGTTTGTGAATGACATGACGAAGTACAACATGACACCAAGGTACATCGTGTCTGCTTTGAAAGACAAAGACCCAGAAAATCTCACAAGTATTACCCAGGTATACCGAGCTGGAGCAACATACAGAATGGGTAAGATAGGTGCAATGACAGAAATCCAAATGCTATTGAGCCTTATTCATTAAGAGAAATACATGTGTTGGACTAGAGATATGGAGAATTCGAATATTATGGTTGATATCTTCTAGACACACTTGACTCTGTGAAGTTGTTGAATATGTTTTCTCCGGTGTTAATTTTTGATTGCACATACAAGACAAATAGGTAAAAAATTTTACTTATACCATCCTAAAATATATTGAATGAGCTGGTTGATGAATGTGCATTTTAATCGTGCAGTTATCGACTATCGTTGCTGGAGATTGTTGGTGTTACATCAACAAAATTGACGTTTTCAGTTGCTTTTCCTATTTGGAACATGAAATAGAGGAGAACTTCACATGGGCACTACAAAAGCTCAAGAGTTGTTCTATTTAGAGAAATTGCTATCAAATGTTATGGTGACGGACCGAGAACTTGCATTAATGAATGCCATTGATTATGTTGCCATACCCCGAATTTGTCCCATTCAATTTCAATGATCATATTATTACTATGTTACTAATTTATAAATCATATTGTGAAAGTTTGCTTGTTTTTAGATCTTGTTCTAATTGGGGGTTTAAATATTAATAAAAGGGGTGTATGGCCTTAATGGACCATCAAAATTGTTGGCCCATTTCAAAATTTTGTTGGCCCATTTCAAAATTTTGTCACCAGAGTCCATTTACGTTTTTTTACTTATTATAATAATTATTATTTATATCATCATTATTTTATTATAATTATTATTATAGTTATTATTTTATATTATTATTATTATTATTATTTCTTTTCTTCTGATTTTTTTCATTGACTAAAGTCAATTACATGTCAAAAACCCTAATTTTTGTGCATCCGCGGCGACGGCTTCATCAGCCGTTTCTCCTTCTCGCTAAGTAACTCAGAGGCCAAAGCCCAAAAAACGAGTACTGTGCAAATCAAACATTAAGCAATCGAATCAAACATTAAAATCAAATGTTACAAATCAAATCTTATTGAATGAATTATAGATACAAAATCGTCCAAATACATTGATGAATACAGAAACCCTAAGATTTCAATCTCTAATTTGTAATCGAATCAATAAGAGATTCTTCTAAAATCTGAATCAACCTAAATCAACTTTAATCACAGATTTGTAACAAGATTTATATAAAAAAATTCCCTAAATCAATCTAATTCTAAAAACGATATAAAGAACCCTAGGTTTCTAATCGAGGAGGACAAAACTATTTTATAGAGACAAAAGGAATAAGTAGAAGATTAGACGAATCCGCCTTCTTAATGAGAGATCTAGGTTTCAACTTCTGAAACACTAGATCTAGCCGCTGTAGTCACCGCCTCCGCCCTCAAATCCAATCTTCATCAGCCACGCCTCTATCCTCATCATCGTCTTGATCCTTTACACATGTAAATCGAAAGAGAAGAAAGATCAGAAAGCTAATCAAAAAACCAGAACGAGTATGAAATCGCAAGGAGGTAATCAACGTTTTTTTTGTTTTTGTTTTTGCAATTATGGATTGTGGTTAATGGTTGGAGTTTTTTTTGGTGTTAGAGATGTCGCCGGTTGGGCCGCCGCCGATTTAGGGTTTCAACGGTGGTTGGTGTTGTTGTTGTTATGTGAGAGAAGAGGGTAAGAACTAAAAGAAAGAGAGAGACAAAAACGAGAGAATGAGAAGAAATGAAAAGAAAACAGAAAATATACTCCCCCGCGATCTCATGTGTTCCACGTATCGTGCACCCTCACGTTCCCACTATCTAATCTTGATCCCACGCCCTCAAGACTACAAAACCACGATAACACCATAGGTCGCCCGTGTACGATCCCAATGGGCCTCTATCCAATTCAATTTTGGGCCAAGCCCAATTGCTAGCCACACATCTCTATTTATTGTGTAGTTAAACAAATGCACCCCCCTTCTGTGTTGATGGGACAAGTCCAAAATTTGGACTTGGACCCTTAATATTTACACCCCTAGTTTTTGCTACTACGTTCAAGTCCGTACCCCACTACGATTTGGGCCTAAATCCAATATCTAGATTTAGGGCCTGTTATTTACACCCCCAAGAATTACTAAGCTCAAATAAAATGCACCCCCTGTGTTTTTGTTAAAATTAATTTTATTTTTATATTTTATATTTCATTTCCTTATTTTATTTTATATTATAATTAATATTTTTAATATTTAATATATTTATTTTAATAAATTCTAAATTGTTTATTTTTTAGTTCAAATTCTTTTTTTTAAATACTAACTCATTTTTTAATACTTTAATTACATTAAATTCTTTTTTCTCATGCATTAAAAATATTTTCTCATATTACATAATATATTTGACAACATCTAATCAATCAACTACTAACCCTTTTTGTACTAACTTAATAAACTTAAGATATTATTTTCAAAAAGGATTATGGAAATATCTCCTATTGACTACGAACTTCGTCTACAAATTCCGCTATTCACACACCTAGATTTGGTTCAAGGAGAATTAAAGATGTTTCCATAGTCCATAAAAAGAACTAACTAAACAACTACGAACTACGAATTGAGACTCTGATTCCTCATAAGAGGACACGTAGGCATACGACTTAAAATTGTGGCGAGTTCCCCTAATTAAAAATTCAAAACCCTATCCCTAAACCTTAAACCTAAACCCTAGTATCCTTGTGAACAATGTAGATGAAGGGTGCCTCACACCTTGCCTTTGTCTAAAGTGAGTCAAAACTTAGAATCTCTGTATCAACTTTAGGATTATTCTATTATATTCTCTTCCTTAGGATAAAAATTAATGGTGGTGACTCTATAATTTTTAGCCAGTTATTACAGCTGGTGACTCTATTGGAGACTCAATTCTAGGGTTTAGAAGACTCTCTTTTAGATTTAGGGTTTTTAGGGTTTTTTTAGGGTTTTTCTATTTTTATTATTTCTTTATATTTATTTGTTTCTTTTGGTTTATTTATTTATCTTTATATCTTCATTGTCACCTCTACACTACACCAGATGCTGAAATACCCGATCCATAGAAAGATTATCACTGTCCATGGAGAGGAAGAGTACATGATTAGCCACCTAAATTCTTTCCGGTA